GTTACATTAAATTAATTTCATGTTACATTAAGCTTTGGAGAAATAGATAATATATAAAAATTAACCTTGATAATGATAAATTAAAAAATATTTTCTCCATAAATAAAGGACCTTAACTTTAAATATAACGAATACGTTAAATTTAAATTTTTTACTTGTGCAATTCATTTATTCAAGTAGTTAGGATAGCGAGGATTCAAGGCCAAACAGGAAGAAGATGATCAAGTCGACAGGACAACATCTGAACGAGTAATATTGCGGATATTGATCGTGTGACGTCATATTATTATTCGATTTGCGCGACCTCTATCTATTTGAGTAAGAAAAAGAAAAAGGAAAAGAAAGGGCATGGTCGAACATTTCTTCCAAAGTTGCAAAATTTTCGTCACGGTGACCAGTATTACAAGTATAAATGTGGATTACCTTTAAGAGCATTATGATTCCTTGAAGAATGAAGTAAATCAACCGCAACTTCAATTTGTATTCAGAAGATTTGAAGATTTTTTTTATCAATTTTAAAACATATATATTTTATGTACACGTAGATATTATCCGTATCTAGCAAATAAAATTCTTTTGACTACGTGCAAAAATACTTTTAATATTATCAAGAAACATTTCTCTTTATAAACATACAAAATATTTAAACTATCACTATATTTTTTAATGAAAGAAAATATTCCATAGATTACAGTACTGCTAATTCAATACAAAATTGATATCCTATTAATGAATATATAAAAGCAAGTATATTCTACCAATCAAATAATAATGATTTTTGCACGATTTCGAATATCAATTATTTTCAAGGATTGATAGTACAACAAATATTTATAAAATCTTAAATAGTGTAGATTTTTTATTAATGTATTAGAACCATAATTTACAAATAAATATTTAAAAATATAGAAAAATTTTGTTATATTCAGTTACTTTTAATTTGTATTTGGAATTCTGTCCTTCCCTATTTTTATAATAATTTGTTAAAACTTTATTATATATATTTTCTTTTACAAGTATTCAATAATAATTCTAATAAGTAATTCATATAGTATTGCGTGCTGGTAATTAATTTTACATATTAAATTATTGAAAACATAAAATAATAGTGTTTAATCTGATATACTGCATGCGAAAAATAAGTTTTTATTTTCTTTGTAATTTTAATTATGGCAAAAATCAAATTTTAGCGAACTGAGCAGATTTATCAATAAATTTCATTGAATGACACTTTCATCACAATTAGATTAAGAAGTATAATGTTTATGATATAGTGGAAAATAAGATCATACTTATCTTTATATATAATCTGTAAGAATATTATTATTGTATCTGATCAAATCTGATAAAAATCTGATCTGATAAAAATATAAATATTAATGCAATAAAATATTAAAATATATTAAAAGGATAATAATTTTACTACCATTATTGTAGATCTGCAAAAACATTAACTATTAATATTCTTAATTAAGTACGTAAAAAGTCAGTGTTTGTTAAAAATAAAATATATATTATTTCATGTATAAATAATACAATTAAAAATCTCTATCAAATGAATTTTTTATAATATAAATGTAAACTTAAATAATTCCTTAATTATTAAATTCTAAAGGCTCATTGGAAAGTAGGTTTTGTTGCTTTTAGTTTAATACAGCTGAATTGGGATCTTTTGATCGAGGTACATAACATTGTTACGTGCTTCTTTATCCTTCTTGTATAAGCCGAAACGTGCCACTTTCAGTTTAAAGGAGCATAGCTACGGAGATGAATACGTGTAACTAAGACTTTAAGAATTTCAACGCTCCCACTTAAATCACTCAAACTTTAAGTAAATTTGTAATTCATATAAGAAATTGAAATATTTTTTTTAACAAACGGCTTATTACACAATATACGATATTATTTTTGTATTTCCCACTCATTTTTAGGGCATTACTAATTTATATTCTAATTACTTTACAATTAATACTAATTTCTTACCAAAATATGATTAATAAATAAAATGTAGTAAGAATCGCTTCCTCAAGTATGAATAGCATTAGTTATTTATTATTTAATAATAATCGTTCTATGTTAATTTATGTCAATATATTACAAATCATATTCATTTTTATTAAAAAAAAAAAAAGAAGAAGAGATTTAATGAATATGATGTAATAAAATAGTCAGTTTTACGAAATCATCGGTAGAATGTACTTTAGGAGAAGAAATAAACTGGATCGTTATAATGAAAAATATCATTATCAATTTGAATATAATCACATATAAATTTGTTTTCATGGAAGGTATAAATTATATATATATATATATATATATATATATATATATATATTCTGTCAACCAATGAATTTGTAAAAGAATGTAAGTGATTCAAGGTAACCATATGATTAGTCCTTGTCAATAAAGACACAAGTAGTAATATTTAGAAATCTTACTAAATAAAATAACTTGCACATTGTAGTAAAAGTTTATTTTATTCTTTACTTATTCATTATTATGATTATTATCATAATCATAATTTATTTTAAGAATTACTAAATTTACAGCAACAATTTTCTTGAAACATTTGTTATTATTTTTACGAAAATTCATATTTTTATTATGTGCATACTTTTAAAAAGTATATTCTCTTGTATCATGTTGCAGTTGAAAAGACAAAACAATAAATCCATTAAACTTTTAGAAGTCTCTATTCAAACAGAAAATTTAATACCTTCGCCCTTCACAACTTAGTTATTATTCAATCTACTCGATATATACCTGTAAATGTAAATATGTATTCGTGGAATTTTAGCGAATAAGAGTCTGTACTTAAACAGTTTGTATTAATAATTATGAAGCACAAACCTCATTGTGATGCGATGATATTTAAAGTAACGTACACAATTTTAGCTCTAATTTATCTTTCATTCGAATTTATAATTTTATTACATTATTTTACTATTAATAATTTTAGATAAATCTATAATAGACAATTTATTATATGTGAAATAATTTATATTTTATTGGCTTTAACATAAATTAGTTATTACGATATTATCTTAAACGATGTGTATGGTATTGAAATAATATTTTGATGAAATCACTATTTTTGCATTATAATTAATATTGTAGTCTATCCATTAACTTTAATATTACAACTCTTATCCCTGACATAAGACTTTCTTTTATTTTATAATAACTATTATTTATTGAGTACATTGAAGTACATATCGTTATGCAATAACGTTGGTTTGTGAGAACGTTATCTCAATACTAATATTTAGCGTTGAAATTAATGACTATTACATAAAATCATACATTTTCAATCAATTTAGTACATTAAACAATCACATGAAATATTTTAAAGTAATTTTCAAGTATTTTTGTGCTTAAATATGGATTAATATGTGCCTAAAATTTATTACATCACTGTCAATTATCCATAGGATTACTAATAATAAAATTTAATTCAAAATCATGTAAAATTTATAAACGGAAAGAAATTTTAATAGTATAAACTATCATTAGGAAACTGAAAAATATAATTAAATGCTTTTTTCTCAGATTTATAATAGCATTAACATAATATTATATCAATAGAAGTAGTAATAATGTCAGCAACAATAAAACTATTTCTCCAATGTAAGGTCGTTCGGTAATCACTTCTTATTTTCTGCTTCAATGAAGTATTCTTTTACTTGTGTCTGAATGACAATAATTTTGAATTATATGAAGTATGATAATGAATTTGGAATGCTCGTCTGAGCAATGATAGCGATTTACGTAATAAATAATATTGATGCTGAACTGTCAGTACAATTTTAATGATAAGCGTAAGCTTTAATTAACTTCTATATTTATAACTTTGACAGAATTAATTTTTATATTTTTATTATTCTATAAAATATTTTTATAAAAATAATCTGTGGCGTCGTTTCCATTAAATGAATAACATTTATTTAAATTTTAAATTATCATTAATATATTTTATTTTTTGGAATGCTGGCATAGACAATGGTTTTGTGATTATTAAATAAATTTTAATTTAATACACAACACGTGTTATTATTACCAATATAACAAATATATTGAAAATCAGTATTATTTCCATTAAAATATTTGCAAATAACATTTAAACCAACATACTTGAACCTTGAATTTTCGAAGAAAGAAAATTTATCAAAATCACAAATGAAATTTTTTTATTGCATTTCTCGCATAAATGGTAAGATGAAGTTGTTATTGAATTGTTTGATATATGTTTTTAATGAAGCCGAATAGATCAAATTTACCAAAATCATAAAAAAAAAAACATGTGATAAACATAAACAATTGTAAGTATATTGTATAAATGTATAATATACTTGTTCTTATCACTGTGCATTTTTATACTTGTCTGCGGTATGATACACATGCGATGTGTTTGCACATGCGCCGCAGAGAATCAAGATTGTAGCTAGTGGTAGTGTTGGGGCGGGGGGGGGCATAAGAAAGAAGTAGGGTCGAACCTCCCTCCTCTTTCTCGCTCTTTTATACAACACAAATGCGCACACACACACACACGTACTCATGCATTGTAAAAGCACACAAAACTGAACACGCATGCACGAACACATTTTCCAACACAGGTCCAATGTACATACACGGCGCGATAGATACGCAAATAATAGAAATAGTAACTGTGTGAATGCGAGAGAAGGGAGAAATATTCAGCTGAAAGAGAGGGAATGAGATAGATAAACAAGGAGAAGAGAAGAAACGAGGAAGCATAGGAAACGCAGGAAACTCACGGTTCATTCAGACTTGGACCAGCGCGCCGCGAGAATTGCTCCTGTGACAAGCGCGCACACATTGATATTAATAAATAAATAAAGTACATATAGAAAATATATATAAACATATACTCAAACACAAATAAATATACATATATACATATATATATATATATATATATATATATATATATATATATTACGTATATATGCGTGTGTGTGTGTGTGCGGGCGCGCGTGGTCTGTGCATATGTATACGTATATGAAAATACTCTTATGTGTATATATTTTTTTGTTTGCCGTCTTCATGCTATGCCGGTAGTGCTCTTCTAGTCGTCCTTTTTTCAACTTTTTCTCGTTAAGGGCCAGGTCTTTGTCTATTTTAAAATATTTTTTACACGACTGTGATTGAAATGTTTGTTTTCGTTGTGTAATAATTAAGCATTGAATACGCATTGCGCTGGTTCGCAATAATATATTTGTAAGTGCACATGAGGCAGGATCTCCTCCTTAAATTCGGCTGACGAATGAGTCTAACTTTTACGCGCGTGCGACAGTGATTTGCCGTTGTACGGAAAAAACGGGCACGAGATCTTCCAGACTTAGTGTATCGTGCTACGCGGTAATTGCAGCCTCTTTCTGCATGAGAGAGAAAAGAATTAAACTTTCTTAATTAGAGTGATAAAACATTTCAAAATAAATCAGGTGAGTGTAAATATGATTGATCTTTGTGTTTTATCTAATGTAACGAAATAAGAAAAATCTCATTATTTTGGTTAATACGTATTCAAAAAAAGATGTGTACTCATTATCGATCGACCAAGGTCGATAAGACTCGATAATAGCTATTTACATTTTCCATGAAATGAAATATAAATGACACATTTTTTTAAGTACATTCATTGGAAGGTTATTTTAAACTGTAAAATTTATGCTCGTTCTAGGAATAATAATGTAATCTGGCTAATGTTCAGCGTATGTACAAGCACACAAAGATGCACGTACACAAAATTATTCTTGACAAAGGATAACGATTGCTCTTAAATCTTTCCGAATCTACACTGGATATAGAAATCACTGATAATAATATAACCACCATCGATATAATATTCCTTTAATATCGCACTTCTTGCAACGGCTATATAAAATCTATCTTTCATTATACGTACATCGCGTGAAATTGTAAGACTTACATGTAACATTAAACATTCAACATTAACAACAAAATATTCGTTCAACCGAAAGCAAAAGATTTTGCTGCAACACTTTTTCTCTGATGGGAAAGCTTACATAGACAACAACCCACGTGGTCTTTATATTGATTTTCCGAAGAGCGCTGCCTTCACGCGGTGTGAGACCAAACGACGACGACGCCTCTATCAAATAGGCCCTTTTCCCTGTTAAGCACATTGTAGATCTCCTGCCCTCTCTCCATTATTCCTCACACCTGATTTTTATCGTTTTCTCAATATCTCATGAAACTCTTTAGCAAAACACTTCTTTCAACGAGTAATGAAATTCAAGTCGAACTTGCTCCTTTTCTAAGAAGATAACGGATAGGCTTCTTTTGATTTAATTATCAAAGATTTTTATGCAAATAATCATCATCATTTCAATACTTCATACAGTAACATTTAATTTTACAAAAAAAAATTAATTAATTACTAAGTGAAAAATCTTTTAAAAATCAATAACTTGTTGCAGTGTGTTGTACATGCGCACATGTATATACATATTTGAATTAACGTAACAAATTATCTCCTCATGAGAATAGAAGACCTAAATATATCCTACAAACATAAATCTATGCTTATAATTTCGTAAAGCATATTCTTATCTTATATTATTTCTATATTATTTGACTATCTTATGTATTTTATTTCTATCTTATAATATTGTACTTTGAAATAGATATGATAAGCTAATAAATATTAAATGTAAATGTGTCAATCATCTTTGACAAGTATATTATTGATACATATTAATTGGTTGAAAATTAATTCCTTTTAAATTTTTACGAAAATACAAAAGAATTATTTTACAACGACATCAAGGGAATTAATTAATACTCGATTGAATAATATTATTTCATAGCTATTCAATGATTAGTTGCATTAAATTACATCAAATTCTATAATTTATAATAATCGTAGTATGAAACTATATGATGCATAAATTTCATTAAAAAAAATAAAAAAATTATATCCTAATATTGTTATATTATAAAATAAATATTCAGCATAGAATTAATTTTACATTAAGTAGCGAATATAATATAAAACATACAAAGAATACAAAGATAATTATTAACTAATCACTAGCTTTCCTAATTCTTTTTATTGACATATATAAAAATTATATAATTTGATAATTATCTCCATATAACATTGATAATAATTTTTACGCCGTCACTCAAAACCTTTAAAAAGCAAATCTTTTATATATTTTTTTTTAATACAAAAATTAAAATGAAAATAACAATTGCTTCGGATATCATAATTATTGAGTTACTTCTTCTTTTGACATTTTAATTTATGTAAGTAATGAAATAATCAGAAAAATATAAATGAATATACACTCAATTAAAAACCAATTGAATAACTATCAATTCATGCCCTAAACATTAAGATAATATAATTAATGTTGAAAAATAAATAAATAAATAAATAAAAATATTTTTCAATTTGATACAATCAAAAACAATATGATATCGAAATAATTTTGACTTTAAACTCTAATCGATATATTTTCATAGCTCATAAGTATAACACATAGATATACTAATTATATTCAAGATTCATAAATAATTATTAGGAATAAAACGTGTAATATGCAACATGAATAATGTTTTTATTATTTTTAAAAAGGTTTAGAATTTTTAAATTTCACTAATTAACATACTTATACATTTTTATAATAATTGTTATTTACAATTTAAAAGTTATTTAAGTATAAAATTATTTAAAATTTACAATTTATTTTTCTCTTTCTTTAAAAATATTTTAAAAGAAGGTGAAAATTTTTATTCACTTATGATAAAGTTATCACTTCGTAAATAGACAGAATTTTTCTTCGGTTACATTATTAAACATTAATTAATAAATTATCTATAATGAATTATCTTAAATAAAACAATAAATAAAATATTTATTCATGCACAAATTGAAAATATTTTTTATATGTACTTTGTTCAATAAATTAAATTTACAAGTAGACAAATCTATTGATTTGCTTACATATATTTCTACGATAATGTATATTATATTTTATATATTATATTTTTATTAACGAAAACGTTTTAATATAAAAAATTAATTTTAAACCTGCATGTTGAATAATACATCTTTCCATTGACTTCTTCTACTTGCTTACTTATTCAGTGGTAATTCAATATCTTTTTATGCATATCGATTATGCATATTATTATAAAAATTAATGAAAAGATCAACTGATATAAATTTAACAAATATACACTAAGTACATTACATTGTTAATATTTAAATAATTAATAATTCTAATATATGTCGATGATTTGTGAAATTTTTTATAATACTGTTTTAATGTTTTAAAAGTTGAATTATTTCAAAATAGAAACTTTTTAAATATCCTGCATATAATCTTTGTACAGAAAAAGTTAAAATTTCTTCTTCTACCTGCTTTTTTAATCGACATAAAAAAATTTGATACCGTTATTTAAACATTTTTAATAATAAAAATTTGTATCCCGCTTAAAAATTAACTAAATCACGTATAAATACATTTATGCATGATTAGGAGTATATTTGTCTTTCAAGTACTAATAACAATTGAAATTTATGGAAATCTCTTATTTACTCAAAATATTATTCTAAATTAAATATTTTCATTCAACAGATTTCACGTAACAATTCTAGAATATTTCCCTCTCGTATATTTAAATATGCTTTATATATTTATATTGCTAATAAACAGTATCAAAATACATGTATACTTACATACTTACTTCATAAATCACTTCAATTTTTTATTTCTTTGAAGTTTAAAAATACTTTTATATTTTCATATCTTATATCTTGTTTAAGACAATGAAAGAAGAAAGAATTTGTATAAAAAAATATTTGTAAAAAAAACCTTGGCGAATTACCGAAGTGAAAGATACGATAATTATTACGTTAAAAGTCTTCAAAAATTAGCAGAAGTGCAAAGTAATGGAACTTATGTAATTGAATTTATTTAATAATATTGTCATGATTAATTGATTTTTTCTAAATATCTTAAAATATTTTAATCATTGTCTAACAAAATTCTTTAATTATTTTGTCAATATTTACTGAAATATAGAAATTAATTAGATAATAAAAATCCTATATGTATATGCATGTCAATATAAAATTTAGTTTTTTTTATCCTCGAAAGATATATTCAATTTTTATGCAAATATAAATAAAAGTGCTTTTTAATTTTCATATCTTTTTTATGATGACTAAAAAAAAAAAAGAATTTTAACTGTAAAATACACCACAACGTCTTATATAAACAAGTTTAACCACGAAGTCGTAGATTTTCGGTAAGTACAATAATATAAGAAATTATCGACAGCTTTTTGTTGGCATCTGTAAAATCCCGAGCATAGGAGGTTGCATGCTTGCAATCTTGTTTTACTGCCAGTCACATTGGATTTTAAGGGAGAGAAACCCAAGTATGAGATAGTATAACTGCACATAGTTGAAGCAGTACGAATGCTCTCAGCCATGTCTGGCTGTGTGAATCTAAAATGTGGAAGAAGGGGAGAATGAGAGGGACAAAGAGCGAGTGTGCGTTTAAAGAAAAGGGACGAACAGAACAGACACGAATAGAGAGAAATGTGGACAGACAGAGAGAGAGAGAGAGAGAGAGAGAGAGAGAACTTGAAATAAGAGCCCGTTCATGTTACCACCCTTACCTCTTATCACAATAGCCCTCTTTCTCGATCACAGCTTTATAGTTAGTTACCTTATGCCATGATTCAAAAGATCTTGTATTGCCTGACTAAATTTATATGACTATCGTATAAATTTTATGTAAATGCTTAAATAGACAATAGAATAAATTTACTTACAAAGCTTCTCTTTAATTATTAAGTAAAAATAAAAAAAAAAAACTTTAAATATAGAATTAATTTATTAATTAATCATGAAAATAAATTTTTTAAATTCATCACATAATATATTTTTTATAAGCATTTTAAAATGTAATTACTGACTAAATAGATAAGAGATCTAAATTATACACGGGTGTGCGTTTGTGTGTGTGTGTGTGTGTGTGTGTGAGTGAGTGTGATATGTAGTGTGTGAGTATTTGTGCGCGCGCGCGCGCATATTAATGTATATTTTTATTATAAAAATTAATTATAAGATTATTAAAAATTAAGATATATATTTTATTATATAGCTGATACTTGTTACATCCTAATAATAAAAACATGGGCTCTAAATAAAATACTCTGAATATAAAACATAAATATATACATGCACACATACATACATATATGTATGTATATATATATAACCGTTATTATAGGTAATTGAAACAGTGCTTCGTAATCTAGCAAAATTGTTTGATTTCTCAATCTCCTTGATTTTGTATTTGATAAAAAACGTCAATATTTAAAGGAAATTGATACACAAAATATAGAACACCTTTAAAAATTAACACTTACAAATTAAATACAAATTGAATACATATATATATATATATGTATATATATATATACGCACATACACACGTATATATTTGGAGTTTTTTATAACGGAATTCAAAAAATATTTTCATCGTATAATTTCAAATCTTGTTTTATCTATTGTGAAAATTTCATTCTCTTACAGACTGTATACGTAAAGTAATATATTTATCTTAATATAAATAATAAATACTTTTATTCCTTTGTATACATATATATATATATATATACATATATATATATATATATATGTATTCAATTTGTATTTAATTTGTAAGTGTTAATTTTTAAAGGTGTTCTATATTTTGTGTATCAATTTCCTTTAAATATTGACGTTTTTTATCAAATACAAAATCAAGGAGATTGAGAAATCAAACAATTTTGCTAGATTACGAAGCACTGTTTCAATTACCTATAATAACGGTCGTTTTTATTTGCTACCTATTTGTACAGATAGAGAAATCCACTTACTTCAGTACATATTTGATATCGTGTGTATTTAAAAAACACAATGTAATATGTATAAACTTCAATATATATATATATATATATATATATTGAAGTTTATAAATATTTCGACATTTACTTTATTAATAATTGTATTTATAAAATAAATAATTTTCATTATTATACTGTAAGTTTGGTAAAAATTTAACTATTTTATTTCGATAAATATATTTTCTAAAGCTAATGTAAATGATTTATGTAATTCAATTTAATGATATTATTCATTAAAATACTATTTAGTGTAAACAAATAATTTAGGCAGAAAACTTGATAACGTTAAAGGTTTTTCAATTGTGTTCTAAAATACATAAAATTTAATTTGGAAAAAAAGATTATTATCCTATAGTCAATATAATTATATATAAAATAATTATTATATTATTGTTTGTTCTGCATAATAAATAAATTGTTAAAACGCTTAGGAAAGTAAATTAATGAATGTGTGTCCTAAGTTTTTATTTTCTAGATTAATTCTTATTAATATTTTTTAATATTTCTTACTTACATTTAAACAATATACATTGTAATAAATTATTTATCTAAATAAACAATATCACTACGATTTACACATTTTGGAGATCTGTAAATCATTTAAATTAAGTAAAAGTACTATTTACACATCGACTGCTGAAACTCGTAAATTATTATACGTATAATATTTCGTGGTTCTTACCTCGGCATACGTACATGCATTATTTACGAGATATTCTGTTGTCCTTTATCAGTAATGCGATGAAATAAAAAAGATTACAATTAAACAACTTTATATTGTTGATAAAATTGTACAAACTGTAAAATATCAAAAAACGTGATATTTTTAATAAGTTTTGGTAATTATTTATATATTTATAAATATATGTTAGTTGCTAATCAATGATGCGGATATCCAACATGAATTTTAGTTAAAGTAGAGATATTCAAGAAAGGGTACTATAGTATGTTTAAATAAATTTAATGAATTTTATGTCAATGATAAAATACAGCATTAATTATGTAAAAATATATAAGCAAAAAAAATATATAACACTGAAATTACGTGTTACACGCTTAAAATATTTTTGCTAATTTCTTATGTTAAATAATAAGTATTTTATTTTCGAATAATTTCCAGTAAACAATTCATATCAGTAATTACCGTTACTCATCAATGTTATTTATTTACTTACTAAACGTACTTTTATTGCTTCATTACTTAATCATTATAGTTAACTTAAAATGCTTAAGTTATGAAATATTATATAAATTAATATAACATATATAATATTTATATAATAATTATTATGATATTAATAATTTTTGAATATTTCTTTCATAAGTAATTATTAATATTTAATTATAAGTTTCATGTAATAATAATAAGCTTCTAGTAAATATCATACGCTCAATGAGAATTTATAGATGAATTTAAAACTCTGTAACTAAATAATAATTAAACAAAATGAGTGAGATTTATAGAAAAAACAAATTACGAAATTCTACTCATATATTCTCTTTCTACAGTTAGCCATATAGAAAAAAAGTTAATTTAATAATTGTATATATGATTGAATTCAACAATCTAAAGCATAATGGTGAAAAATATATATCTCAGTTAAAAACAAAACTAAATAGTTTTTTATATTGTTAAAAAGAGTGATTTTTATCTACAAAAATAAAATAAAATATAATAGAATATTTTAATCACTAGTAAAGTAATTTTTTATTCAAATATTTACAAAGAAGTAAAAATATTATTATATAAATATTAATTATATATACTTATAAATAGTTGTACATCGATTAATTATATATAATTATTTAAAATAATTTAATAATTTATTTATGCAAATTTACCAAGCGTAGCTGGGTGAAAGTAATACCATTAGTTGACGTATTATAATTATAATTATTTTCTATAATATTTATAATTTGTTTTACTCCATAAAATATTGCCTGTAAATAAATTAATTTTATTAAATTGTTCTTATTATCATAATTATATTTATAGTTTTAAAATGTAATATCAAAATTTGATCCGATAATATCCTAAAAATTATATAATAATTCTAAATTATTTATGCCTAAAACTGCTATTTACATTATAAGTAATTTAATGCTTAAATTCATGTTAATACCTTTTAATTTCTAAGAAATTACATTTTTTTTATATTTATAAAATATTATATAAAAATTTTAAATATAACCTATATAATTAATATCGAATGAAATTTGAATCTTTCAAGTGAATAATGTGCTAATTCTACCAGAGCTCATAATGTAATTTTATTTGACATTGATAACTATTTTAACATGTAAAAAATATATAAACCGACATAAACATATTACTAAAATTAAAAAAGAGAATTTTATTATAATTAAAGCATATTTCAGAATGTCAAAATCATCGGGAAGTATAAAAGAAAATACGAAAGGAAGTAAAAAAAGTGCCACAGATGGGGATCCAAATAGTCCTTACGATGCAGTGGAAGGGAGTGGCAACGAGATCAAATTGGAGGCAAAAATGTCCTTGCTGAATGGAGTGACGGTTATTGTTGGCTCAATCATTGGTTCCGGTATCTTTGTCAGTCCAACTGGTGTTCTAATGTATACTGGTAGCGTCAATGCGAGCCTTCTAGTATGGACAGCTTCTGGAATATTTTCTATGGTAACTAGACATTTTGCAAATTTTGTGACACTTCTGACTTATTTATTCGAGGAAGAAAAATAATAAATGTTTCATATCATTATCTTCATTGATAAAAATTCCATTCTGGCTTTGTGATTGTGCTTATTAATATGAGTATTCGTATAAGTTGAGAAAAAACGAGTCGGCAATGATTAATTATTCAACGTACAGAAAAAAAGTATGAAAATAAATAAGTATTAAAGTTGGACACAGATAGTATTAATTGCTATTATAATAGATAAGATTAGGATAAATTAAATTAAACAAATTCAATTTATTTGGGCACACATAATGATTAAATTGTCATTTGCATAAAAAATAAAATCAATCGATCGTGCAATATTTATTATTGATAAATAGATTATTATTTGAATTTTATATTGACAATTACAATGTTTAATAACTAACTATAGATATAAATAATCAGAGCATAAAATATTTCAAACTATTTTAAAATACTTCAATTATATTAAATTAAAAAATCATTATTACATTTAGTTAAACTATAAAAATTCAATAATGAAGTTCTTACAATTACGCGTGTAATTACTGGAGGAATCCTTTTCATTTGATCGTTACATTCCCAGTTTATTAAAGTCTGCTTAATTAGAAAATAATATGGTTCAACATATATGATACGAAAGTCACGATTAAAATATCCAAAACTCTTATTTAATTAAATTTTCTTCAGATAATTAATCTATTTATTATATATTACTTCGGTAAGCATAAGCATATAAGTGTAACTGTAATTGTAAATATTCCTATTTTCAAGGTCGGCGCCTACTGCTACGCGGAGCTCGGATGTATGATTCGGAAGTCCGGAGCGGATTATGCGTATATTATGGAGACATTCGGCCCGTTTATGGCATTTATGAGACTTTGGATCGAATGTATGATCGTAAGGCCCTGCAGCCAAGCCATTGTCGCTCTCACTTTTAGCAAATATGTACTGAAGCCCGTATTCCCGGATTGCGCGCCACCCGATGATGCCGCCAGGTTATTGGCTGTCTGTTGTATATGTAAGTGTATTATTGAGTAAATATGCTCTAAATGTGCGTAAGTATTCTTAATGCGTAGAACTGCAATTACAATTATCTCCTTCGATTAATAAGAAAACTATATTATTCTTGAAATTTATTGTTTAATTTATAATATTGTTTCATTTCATTGTATATTTATTTTATAATGACAACAACCGTTCTAAAGAAATATTAGATGTAAATCATAGCATCGAAGAAGTGTATATTTATGCAGATTTTTGTAATCCCTTAAATCTATACAAAATTATTATAAGTAAAATGGAAAATTAAATAAGCAAATTAGTAAGTGAATGTAATTCTCCTATTAACATATATTAAGTATGATTAAATTTCTTAAATTAAAAAAATTAATTTTAAATAATAAGCAACTTCTTATTTTTATTCGAATAACTTATAATTATTTTATTTTTTATTCTAAATTTGAGTATTATATTTACATTGCAATCTGAAGTCGAATGGTTTTGTAATAACTAGTAGAGTAATTTCAACAAATTATACTAATATTATAAATAATTACTCTGCTCAAAATATTGGTATCATTAGAATGCACGAAGAACAAGTAAATATAAAATGAAAAGAAGATCTGTATCATTTTTTATTTTATATCTAAATTTATATCGTTTTAGAACTAACTATTAATTCATCCTCGATTATATTCGACTATATTAAAGAATATTTAAAATTTTCAGACATTAATTATTTAACTTAACTATAAAATTGCCATTAATATAAATATTGATGACATAAGTTCAATTTGTTATTGATTTATAAAAAATAGTAGCTTGATATTGTAATTTTTCAATAATAACAATCTTAATGTCATTCAAACATGTGCATAATTAAGTATTGACGAAACAGGTTAAGAAATATCTATATATTTACTGTTAACAGTTGCAAAATTCAATAACGTAATTAATTTTTATATTTATAATCTTTATATTTACTCATTTTTTATGAATAAAAATCAATTTTACGTACTTATAAAAATAAAAAATAACATATATTCATGACGTATTATATTTTAGATAATACGGAGGACTAGTTATTAATATTTATTTTCTTTCCTTACTATTGAATGATATTGTAAATGTATTAATTTAACAAAGCCGATTATTTTCTTTAACTAAAATAATAGTTTAATTTCTTCTCTTTTCTGAGAATCAAAACAGATTGTAAATCGAGAAATTTAAGAAATTTACAAATTAGTATTAGTTAATTACTATTTCAAATAGTTCACGACAAAACAATCCATTTATGTATAATTTGCTTTATTTTATTGCAAAATATTTTTTGATAAAAAAAAGAAAAGTCAAATTAGCGATAAAAGTAAACTAGAAAATTATATTTGATTGAATTTAAATTACTTTTATCCGAAATTATTACCGAAGTTATGAAATAAGCTTTAATATCTAATATTTGTTAGTTACTTACAACAAACTTTGAAGTAATTTTTACAAGCCTTATACTATAAGTAAGTACGAAATATGAAATTACGAATAAAAATATAGTTTGATCTTTTTAGCAGGTACATAATAGAATGATTTATGCAATCGTTTTCATACTATATTAAAACTTTCGAACTAATTTTTTTCTAAATGTTTGACAATATAATGTGCAGTAGGAGTTAATGGAATTTTATAGTCTACAAATATATTTAACATTTAGTTCAATAATTTTTTAATGTAATTAAAAATTTTCTTAATTTTTTTCCCCGCATCATGTGACCACCAAAGAATACGAAATCTATTGGAAAAATTTATTTATAACATACAAGTAAATGTGAGATAGATAAAATATTCGATTTGTTATGAAAATTGACTGATGTAATGGACAATGATATTTCATGCATCACAATATTATTCATACGTAACTTTATTATTCATCTATCTTAGCATTGACATTCAGATTATGTGATAGTTATGTTTTTCTCTTTTCATCAAAACAACTAATCTGATCTTTCTACATTTAATCTGAATTTTATCTATACAAATCATTTGTAATTTATCCGTTTCCAAAATTGCGCTCAATATTTGTCCGCACATTCAATTATTTACGTATGTTTTAGTTGCTTATAAAAATATCAACTTTATTCACACTATTCAGTTATTCTATGAATTAATAATTTCATATAAATTTAATGTCATTATAGCTTTAAAATTAATAATTTGTCTGCAGTTGTGCAATTCAATTTAGAACAAAATTAAAATAATAATACAGTATTGCAAAATAATGCTTAATTTAATAATGACTATGTTTTATCGATAATTACGTGATTACGTGAAACAATTAAGTGAAAAAATTTCTCGTATAATAAGAATTACTTATTAGACTTTTTCTATTTTCTATCTCGTTTAAAATTAATCCCTTTCAAAAAAATATTAGTCACCCTTCGAATATTATAATGGAATACTTATTCTACTGCTACCTAATAAATAAACATTTGTATTGGTAAATTATGTTATTTTTATTTTATTCGTATCAATAAATAAAGAATTTTCGTACTTTCGCTATACTAATAAAAAAAAAAAATAAAAAAAATTTATAAGGATACGGATGACAATAATCAAACGATTGTTTTTAATAAATTATTTATCTATTATTTAAAATATATTAATTATTTATATAGAAATTGATTGAATGTACTTTGTAATTTGTACTGTTATATATTATTGATATATTAATATACTTATATTTACATAATTTATATATATTTATACATATTTATACATAATTATATATACATAATACAATATATTTACATAATTATGTAAGATGATTAAAAAAATACTTACTTTATATAATAAATAAAATGACTGTTATGTAAAAAATAATTTAATCCTATTAAAAGTTAATTAAAGTAACGTAGTATTTTTTAAAGTGCCTTTTAAAGAATTTAATTAATTACTTAAATGAAAGTGTATGTAATTTTATGAAAAGTATTTTTGAATAATACATTATTTAAGTCGCATTTTATCATGAAAATAAGTACGTGAGAGAGATATATATTAAAAGAGCCAAATTAAGTGGTAAAATTTATTGTTATTCTAAATCATAAATAATTTCTAAAAGTAAAAATAAATGAGAATAAAGTTAACTCCTCCATCAGCATACGTGAGAGATATCATATCATTATCCGCCGTATATAATACTGTGACATTTTATACATAAATATACATATATATGTATTTCTGTAAGAAATTAAATAAATGATCTTTTCTAAAATTTATTAAAAGCAGTCTTAATATCAAAGACTGGATATAAAAATATAATCGATAAAACTGGCATTTTATTTGATAAGAAAATATTTAAAAAAATATATTAATAGTTTACTTTTATATAAATATTAATCCCAAATTTTATAAAAACAAATTGATAATATTTTAATTGATATTTAATTAATATAATGATATTAAAGTTTTATTAAAGTCAATTAATGAATTAATCAATATTCCAATTGAAGAATCTTCTATAGATATTAATTGATTATGAGTAAATCATTGTGTACAAAATTTCAATATCTTAAGTAAAATCTATCCAATATTTGCACTTAGGATTATAATTAAAATATTATTGTGAGTACAAATAGAATAGTATAATTTATTAAACTAGGTATATGATAAGCCAATATAAATTTGAAAAATTGATTATTTATTTTTCTTGAACATTGTCTTAATATTTTTTTTTTTTAATCATGTTTTCTTTAAATTAATCATTTTATACTAAATTATAAAGCTAGGGTATTTTAACAAAAGTGCAAAAGTGTAAGTTAGTTATTAGAGCATCGCTTTATCTTCATTCGGAAAAAAATATGGATGAACTTTGTCTGATTTTACTAAATTGAATATGTATTCGAATATGGAGAAACTTTGTAATTCTGATTTTATGATATAATTAAGAATATCTTAAGAAAAAGAAAAACGTTGACATGGAACAATTACATTTGATTAATATGTAAAAAAAAAGTTTAAAAGAATAAAATTTGTTTAAAAACTTTACGTTTATTGCTTAAAAAAAACTTTTTAATGTAAATTTAATTATCTATATATATATATATATATATATATATATATTTATTCTTTACGCGTTCATGCTATAAATGCTAGGAGAATAATAAATATATTAAATTTGTGATTATGCCCTTCAATAAAGACTTTATGAATGTTCATTGTATGTGTCGAAGGGCTGGCATTAGTAAGCACCAGGAAATATATGACAGTTCTATTATAAAGTCTTAGAAGTCACGTTCATCTAATTACGTTCAATTCGTACAAAAGTCAAGGCTGTCTATGAGCATCTACATAAAAGGAGGGACCCCTCTTTCCTCTATTCTTATAGCAATTGTTCCAACGTTTGAATTCCATTGTTAGTATATGCCGGGCTCATCGTAAGATTTATTGGCTAAATTTCTTTTCTTAATAAATATCTTTACATGCAATCTTCTTTGTCCTAATATATGATACTCGTCTTTAAATTGCATTGACAAAAATTCAAAGAGCTTGGATAATTAAAGTCTAGTGTTTATTAACTAACGTAGAAAGATTTTTATTTATATATATTTTTTTATTATTTATGTCGATTCTGTTTATTTTGTAATGGTCTCGCTCGTAGTATAGATTAATTAAAGTTTTGTATAACATCGAAATGTATACTTGTAATTAATTAATATAAATGTTGTATAGAGCATATATTAAAAATCATTTATTATAGATGAGAGATTAACTGGATATTAAAAGTGAATAATAAGCAATTATAAAAATATTTTAACTTTTTTTTTCTTTAGATTTTATACGCTGTTACAGTAATGGAATCGATATATCTTCAACACTTATTGATAAATCGTCAAAAATAACATTAAAAATTCCATCTAAACCTTAACAATGCTAATTAAGTTAATTAATTTTATTAATATTTTTAATTAATGTTAATAAATATATTGATAATGAAATTTTAAATTATCTTTATGTATATTATATATATATATATATATATATATATATATGTACAACAATTTATGAGTATTTATACTTGAGATTATATACTTTTCATTTATTAGGATTTTTTTGAAAAGGTATCTTAGCTTTTGTGAACTGCTGGGATGTAAAATGGGCCACGCGCGTTCAGGATGTCTTTACGTATGCTAAGCTTTTGGCGTTATTCATCATCATCGGTGCTGGCGGATATCAACTCGCTCATAGTAAGTCAACTTCACTCTTAACGCTTTAATAATAATTTTCCATAGATCGTTAATGCAAATATAAAATGTGCGTTTAATAAAAATGCCTCCATTGTTATCATTATCATTATTATTATTATCATTATCATTATTATTATTATTATTATTATTATTATTATTATTATTATTATTATTATTATTATCATCATCATCATCATTATTATTATTATAATTGAATTGTTAAATAAAAATGCATAATCTTGAATAGGCAATGTTTGAAATTTAATGCTTGGATAAAGTTATATTTCACAAAAACTTAATAGCCGTTGTACATATATGAACATGTCGGCAGAACGTCTTTAGAGTGCCATATTTCTTAACAAAGCTCGCGAGCCGGACGAGACAATTTGTTCAATCAGAAAGGTGGTTAAAAGCGTTGTACATTGAATGTGTAGGCAGCGTGCGAACTGCCACAATACCGTTCAGTCGTTAAAAACTACTTTAAATTGATCAATTCATTTGATGTAAAACAGACGTGGAAAATGGTATTTTTATTTTACTTTGGCGCTTCGACTACTCTGCCACTTGTATCTTGTACAAAGCTTTTAAGCATTTTCAATTTTGCCATTAGTTTTCTTTCGAAATTGCAAAATAATTTTCAAATTAATATAGAAACTATTATTTAAGAATATAAATTTAAGAATTATACCGTAAAATTATTAAGAATATTAAGTTTAAATTCACAATAAACTATTTACATGATTATGAAATTATTGGTAAAATTTTACTTGTAATTAGAAATGGTAATATTTCATTTTATTAACTTTCAGTACAATTTTATTAGCTATAAATTTATATATAAAAAATATCATTCAGAGAAAAAACGTATAATGCTTATATGTTTAAAATATGGCTTTTATAATGACAACTATAATAATAATTTTGATTCTTCGTTAAAAACATAGTATTACCGTACTATACGAAAAAAAAATTTCATTTGATTTTAAGATCAAACACAGTACTTCACGTTTGATAACACAAAAATGGAGGTTACGCAGATAGCATTGAGCTTTTACTCAGGACTATTCGCGTATAATGGCTGGAACTACTTGAATTTCATAATAGAGGAGCTAAAGGATCCTGTAAGGTATGATAAATCGAAATTCTTTGTCTCTTTTGATAAGAAAAAAATATCTCTATGCTATCATTCTAAATTGTATGGCATTATCCTGTATTTGATTTTTTTAATTAATTATATTGATATATCAAACTTATTTATTTGCTTAAAAGAATTTGTATAAAATGTCAAGATATGGATAAAATAAGTAATACAGTCTTATTATTGAAAATATATAGTTTCTATAGTTATTATAATTTTATAATCTATATAATGAGAATAAAGAATTAGAGCCAAATAAAAATCTTTCATGTAATAAGACGAATGTTCAACAGAAATACAATTATTAGCATTATTAAAAAAAAAAGAAGTTATGGTTATACATGTACATATTATCTTAGAATGAATAAAATTAATTAATATTTCAAGCCTATAACATTTTAAGAAACGATAATTTTTTTTCAGAAATTTACCTCGAGCTATCGGTATCTCTTGCACATTGGTGATGATTGTGTATGTTCTGACGAATGTAGCTTTCTACACAACTCTTAATCCGCAAGAAGTTTTGGGTAGTGAAGCTGTCGCAGTTGTAAGCTATACAGAAGCTTTTCATTAATATCGATATGTATGGTTGTTGCGTCTTGTCAATGTAAGACGGCTGGAAAATTCGAAGCCCACGATATCCGTTTAACACCCAAGTTGTCGATTATTCGAGCACAGCAATTTGCTTATTTTCTTTGCCCATACAACTTTTTAACTAACTATTTAGGTTGTTGTATTTAATAAATACTAATGATATACTAAACATGATTCACGCATTTTTACTTCTATGGTTCTATGAATTGAAGTATAAAAAGTTTCAAATTATAATTTAATCACTTCTCAGATTCTAATTTAATATAATTTAAATACAATCATGCACTTTTATAATGTATAATTAAAGGCAAAAGATTGCATTCGTTAAAATTAATAAATTATAATTTTTTTTTTAATTGATCATTATTGTATACGGCATATTTTTACTATTGGTTTCTAACTATTTCGGATTTAAATAAATTGTTGTATAACTTTATCATTGCAGTGAAAAATCTGTCGGTATCATTATTTTTATATATAAATACTTGTTTATTTATATAAATTTATTTATATTATTTATATAATTATTTGTATTTATAGTTTCATTTATTTTTAACAAATTATTTATATAATAAAAAATAACAAATAATTATTTATATAGATTTTTGTTAGAAGATATTGTTAAACCTTATATTTAGAACTAACTATAAATATAAAATGTTAATATAATTGATAATAAAACGATATATAGATTTGTACAGACTGCATGGGCTGCGTAATAATTAAATATTTCAATATGATATTTTAGATTTTTGCATGTTTGATGTTTGATCCAAAAAGATGTAAAGTACTGTTTTACTTTCCGTGAATCGTCCATAAATTTAAAAACGACACCAAAGCTGACATAATACTTACTGCATTACTTTCTATTTTGACGTAGACCTTTGCTAATCGGTTGTTTGGACCGATGGCCTGGACAATACCGGTATTTGTTGCTCTATCTACTTTCGGTGCGGTCAATGGCATTTTGCTTACATCATCAAGACTTTTTTACGCTGGAGCTTGTGAAGGACAGATGCCTGAGATTTTAACTATGATACAAACCTCGAGATTGACACCCACTCCAGCTGTAATTTGCATGGTACGTTCTAAAATATCTTTATTTTCATTAATGAATGTTTTTAATGAATTTAATAATACTTTTTACATACAAAAAAAAACAGAAAATAATAATAATAATAAAAAAACTGTTCTTAACTAGAAAGAACTTAAGCAAAAATTAAGCCAATTCGCTTGAGATTTTAAAATAATAATTTTAAAATTTATCATTCATTGATGATGACGAATTTTTTATTGTATTAAATTAAAAAAAAAAAAAAACAGATGGACGATATTTTATTTATATACGAATAATGAAACTGTACACCGTAAATATCATATTATTAAATGAATATTTATTGCTTAAAACTAGCATAACTCTAATTTTTCAGATAAGAATAATAAGTTGTGTAAATTGATAATCAAAATTAATGAAATTCATTAAATTAGTTCATCTGCTAATAGCAATTAGCATAATAATAATAATAATAATAATAATAATAATAATAATAATAATAATAATAATAATAATAATAATAATAATAATAATAATAATAATAAAGTAATAATTTAATCATAATTAAATGTATTTTTAGGCTTTATTGTCTATGCTTTACCTGTGCTCTTCTGATATCGTAGCTCTAATAAACTACGTAGGTTTTGCTACATGGGTATGTTTTTTATATTATTTTAATATAATTATTATTAATGATAAATTATAACGCTCGCGTATCATTTACATACGTAAACATAAGCATATGTATATATAAAAATGTTTATTTTATGTCAATTTATTATTAGTTTTATTATTCATCATATTTTAGCATTAAATAACGTACTTTTTAAATAGATATTCATTGTCAACTCTTATGTGTAGATTTATATAATATCAATTTGACATTGAAAAATATGGTTTTCTCTAATTTTTTTTTTTTTTTTTTTTTTTTTTTTTTTTTTTTTTAATTTTTTCTAAATCGGTGATATTTACTGTAGATTAGAAAAATGATTTACTGGATATAGAAATTTATATATGTATACAAAAATCTGGTCTAAATTTAAATTGACTTGTATCTGCTTTATAAAGTATTTTCGTGATTCATAAATTGTATGCCCTCAGGATGATCTTGTACTTTAATATATAAATATTTATATACTCAGCCGAAATAATAAGATTACACATTATATTACAAATTACATCATGTTATGGAATCTGTAAAACATACCGATAATTTTTAATGCAGATGAAAACATATCTTTCCTAATATTTTATAATATAAACTTACTTATACAATTAGAAAAAGAGCACGATAGTGATTTATTTTGCGCATGATTAATAATCGATTTAAATTCATAGTTGAGCATCGGAGTATCAGTATTATGCGTTCCATGGCTACGGTGGGCTCAGCCAAATCTACCAAGACCCATAAAAGTTAATCTGGCCTTTCCAATTATCTATATTCTTTGTACACTCTTCGTCACAATTGTACCAATGTATGCAAGTCCTGTCGAAACAGGTGAGAGTCCAATGCTCCTCTCACTTAAAGAAAATATTAATTTTTAAATATTTTTCAACATATTTGTTTATTCCATATTTAAACATAGATATATTTATCAAAAAGGAAAGGTTGATCGTGCTTTTTGATTTCCTTTAATAAATTCAATTGCAATTTCTGTGATTTTCATTAAATATCGTATTAATCTATACTATTTGTTTGATATCAAATTCCTTAATAAAATGAATTATCCTTTAAGATGAAAATAAATTAACAGTTTCACAAATATAAGTTTATTTTATTTGCATAAAAATTCATATTATAAAAACTCATATCATTGAGTATTCATTTTTATTTTCATTGGAAAATATTACTCTATTATATATCTATTACAATGATTTATTATTATTATTAATATGATTATTAAAATTACTATTGATCGATATTGAAACGATGAATTTTTTATTTATTGGAAAAAAATTTTTTTCGGCCATTAAATAATCATTATAATTCTATATTTAACTAAAAACTATTTAAAATATACATCGTTTATAAATGAAGGTTTACAGTTCAACATTTATAAATATTTCATAGATTAATAAAAAGTAGTATAAAAGTGTATTTTATATTTTAATAAATATATTTAGAAATTGGATAGTATTTTATTAATCATTTTTCATGTATTAATTTTATAAATAAAAAGTTATTGTAATAAAATTAAAAAAAGTTTTTTTTTTTATTTAGCCTATTGTATAAAATTTTTGAATTATAATAAAAATTAATGTTTTTTCAGGCTATGGTTGTTTAATGATTTTTTCTTCTGTACCGATTTACTTTGCTTTCATCGCTTGGAAAAATAAACCCAAATGCTTTCAAGAATCTGTTGGTAAGTTAAACTAAGCAAGCACTAGTCATAAGTGAATTAAATTAAATTACAATTGTATAGAGGAAACAATGATTTAAAATTTTTTTCATTTTGATTTTTCCAATAATTTATTCCTACAGGCGCCGTTACCAAAACTTTGCAGAAGATGTTGGTAGTCGTCGGACCAAATAAGTCACAGGTTCAAAAATGCACAACAACTATTACTCTAACAAGTCATGCATGCACTTTTATGCTTTAATTTATTTTATTTCGATTTTTCATCTTAATCAAATTAATAAAAGATCGATAAAAAATTATAATTATTTACATCCTTCTTATCGTAATAAGAGATTTTTTTATATTGCATTATAAATCATACATGTATATTATAAATTCTATACTAACCATTCGTTATATTTTTTACCATTGTTTGTATCTTAGTTAGCATTTAGCAATTATCAAAATTATCATTACACTAATAACAACAGACACAGAACTTTTATCTTTGATACAATTAATTATGAAAAGAATATATTACGTCTTTGTAAAGATATTGAACGTACTTAAGACACAAAATTAAAATATTCATTAAAATAAATAAAAAATTTTCCTGGAGGTATTTTGTGTGTATTTGTGTATTGTGTGCGCGTGTGTGTATGTGTGTGTGTGTGTGTGTGTGTGTGTGTGTGCGCGCGCGCGCGCGCCCACTTGCGTACCTGAATTTTTTCTGCGATTGGGAAGACTAAAGAAATTCAAAGTAATATAAAAATACGAATATTAATTTTAATATTTTTTAATTTTAAGGCTAATTAAATTAAGTAATCACTTATATTAAGAAATTAATAAGTAAAAATTATAAGTATTACCTATTTCATCTTTAAATACTTCGAAAACTAGGTATTAAAATTTTAACATATATATATATATATATATATATATATATTTTACATAAAAATACAAAATAATGTGAAAATAATGTATTAATTAAGTTTGAAATTTTTGTAAAAGTCGAATCAAATTTAATTTTAATATCTAACATAAGCGAAAATGTCGGAGTATAAAAAATTTTCTTAATATTAAATAAATATTAAATTTATTAAAATTAAATTAATATTAATAAATAATTATTGTAAGAATCGTGGGAAATAGAGGCTAGTTTATTAAGGCCGTAGAATGATTTTTCTATGTGGTTATGTAGATAAGAAAAATGACAAGATGAATATTTTACTTATTATAACTTATTTTATAATCCATAACTATAACATATAATATAACTTATGTAAATGAACGCTTGAATTAACATAGATTAATGAAATACCTTTTTTTATATTTATAATAATATTGGATAATAGTAAAAACACGATCAATATTTTATGAAAATTTTTTCAAAATACGAAATAAGATTTCTATTATATTAAATGCTTTTTATAAAGCAAAATGAGTTTATAACATTAATACATGTAAAAATATGATTTCTTTTGTTTACAGTAAGTTTCACCAAGTTTCTACAAAAAATTATTTTGGTGGTGGGCAAACCAAAGCCTACGAAGATTTAAATTAGCTCAATTGAAATCAACGTTGCAGGAAAAAGATGTGATGTGTTATGATAAATCGCCTATTTTCTTATATATAAATAACGTATAACAATAAAATACGAGAAATAAAAAAAACATGAAAAAATGAAACAATGCTTGATTTTTCAACGTATACACAACTGGCCGTCCACGATCAGCTTTCAGCCATTGATTGAGGATGGCTCATCTTGTTCCTTAGAAGAAAAGAATAATTATTGTGTAGTAATATTTTTGAAAATAATATTTGGCTGTTGTATTGTTACTATAATAATACACATACGAGCGGGCGCTTGCGTGTGTGCCTCCATTTACCCACACTGATTATTAAATACGTAATTATGTTAATCTTGTCTTAACATGCATTTCTTAATTTACATTCTACTGCATCTTAATGTTAAAGCACGAATTTTATTAATATAAACATTTCCAAAATATTACAATTCAATACGAATTATAGTTTCGCATTGAAAAATCATTATTATTACAAACAGCACACTCTGCTACTTACTATGACATCGTAGCTAATAGTAAAATGTTTACATTCAGAGAATAAAAAATTGCCTTACAATGAATTCATTTGGAAATAAAGTGAATTTTTATTAAGACAGATTTAAATTAAAATGATGTTAAGACTTGATTCTTCTATCAATAAACATATGTAAGAAAAATGAATTTCATCGTAGCGACAAATTATTTTGTTGAAAATGAAATCGTTGTTAGTATTTAACAGTGACTAATTTTTGAACAATGTTAACGCTTAAATATTCTAATAGTATATAGAATATAGTTTCAACAAAAAAATTTGTTATTCAAGTATTTGTATGCTGCAGCTACTACTTTCGGATAATAATTTATTTTTGAACGAGTAATAAATCACGCTATTTTAAGATTTTTAAAAATAATAGTTTCAAAACTTTTTAAAAGGATGCAATTTTCCAACATTGCGGTTTCTTATTAATATTTTTTTGAATGTTTTTAATGAAACCGAAGTTGCAATCATATCAAATTTATTACCGATAATATCGATTTACAAGAGAAAAGGTTTGAAAGTAATTACAATTTGTAAAAGTTTTAAAATATTATATTATATTATAACTAATTTTTATAATGATTATTCATACTATATTAATTAGTAAATTTATATTGCGGATAGGCGTAATGCAATAAATTCTAAATAATTGTTTAATTCATCAGAAATTTCGATTACTGCCATATGCTTAAACAGTCGAAGAAAATATAGAGTTTTTCTTTTATAAATTGAGAAGTAAAAGTAAGATAAGTGAAATATACATTGTCATTATTATAGTATACAACTTTGCATCAAGTTTAAAAATGTCATAATTTATTCTATATTCTGTAATTGTTTCTTATATAATTTGTTATTGAATAATAGATAAAGTAAAAAATTATGACTAATATGTTAATGAAACGGTTTGTACATACACATATTTATATATATTGGGTTAGAAGTTTTTTAAAAAGAGAAACAAGTAATTTCGATACCGAAACGATTCTTTTTTTACATATTAATAACGACGATTTGCGTATTTGTCATTATTTTGATTATTTACTATTCCTTTCGCTTTGTAAAGTACAACATATGTAATTTTTATACGATTTATTGAATGTGCTGATATTTTTTCAGATGAATTTATGAATTATTGTGCGTACAAAAATTGTAGAAAAGTTGCAGAATTATTTTATTCTTATTAATTACACATATTAAAATTTTTTTTTTTAATAGAAAATTGCATCAACAGTCTTTGCCATTAAAAAATTAATTTAACCTTTCATTTGAAACAAAACTAAATGTCAATGTTATGTTGTTCGATTTGGAAAAATAAGGAATTGAGTTATTAAATGTGTTAATTAATATATTAAATCTACATAATTTCTCTGCTAATGAAATTTAGTGTATAAATTGTATAAGAATAAGAAATATCATAAAGAAAATATATACTAAATCATTAATTTTTAAGACATATCTAAAAAAAAATTTTGATTATATAAAATGAAATGCTCTACGTATGTACAAATTATCTTTTAAAAATTAGAAAATTGTTATTTATAGCCAGGTAGCAATATTAAATTAAATGACCTAATATTGAAATTATAATTTATAAACAAATACTTTTGAATTTTACACGAAGAATCAATAGACTGCATTATAAAAAACATTCCTTATAGTTACGAAGAATTGTTGAAAGCAATAATAAGCAAACATTGTTACAAATGGCATGTAGAGTAAAATTTATTTTTGATTTCCAGTCAAAAATAAAAATGAAATAAAAATTTTATTTATAGTCTATATTTTATACATGAAATAAGACATTTCAGTAACTCAAAGACAATAACATTTTGACTGATTAAGTAACTATATCAGAATTTCCGTGAAAGAAAAATCTTTTCCATTATAATAATGAAAATAATTGAGATTAAGTTTTTAATCGACCAATATTATATCAAGTTAGTCTTACGAATAAAGTATAAATTTATTTATATCGCTATACCCGAAATATATTCTTAGTATCTTTTATATTTATGAATACATTATAAGCAATTTTTATAATTAATTTCATGAAAATAGATTTTAGGTATACTTGGATAATCAATTACAAATGTACACTAATAAATTATCTTATTGATATATGCAAAATAAAAGTGCTAATGATATAAGCTCCGTTAATAATTTATTACGTAATCTATTTATATCTGAATTTTATAATTCTTCATATTTGTAAATATTCTATTATAATTTTAAATAATGATTATAAAATAATTTTAACTAATTATAATAAAATAAAAATGACTAATTATATTTTTTTGATATAATATACATAGTCTTTTAAATTATTATTTAAGCACCAGTCTTACGTACATATGTGTAATTAATTATGTTTGTATATACTAGATACCATTACGGGAATGTTAATTACATTTTACGTAATTTTGCATAATTCAATTTATAATCTTATAAAAATATGTAAAAGTACATATCTGTAAGAGTACCTATAATCTATTTCATTGCAAAAATTAACAGAAGACAAAATTTATATAGTAGTATTTTCTCATGTTAATTAGAAAAGCTGTTAATTTTAAAAGCAATGTAGCTTAGATGATTAAGCCTAATTAAAATGTCATACAATATCATGATTTTGAAAGAAGTTAAATTACATTTTGATTAAAAATAAAACTTTCAGTCATAGTATTTTTACACGTTTTACATGACTGATGGTATTAACAAATTATAACAAATTTAGACTTTATGTGATTTGATTAAAATTATTTATTTCGAGAAGTTCAAAATAATTACTAGTTTTGTAAAATAGTTTTCTATACATGTAATTACCTTAAATAAAGTATCTTGATAATGATAGATAATCTAAAATTGTGAAAAATCTGTGCATTTATATATTTTAATGGTTGCTGAAACATTGGAATGTATACATGTACGTGCGCAATAAAATTAAATATTACAAGAGAAGTTGACTTTCGAATGAAAACTCGAGCTTTTCTATTTTATTTTATGAGTCTACAGTAGCTTAGTATGAATAAATATGAATAAATAAATGAACAGTAACAATATGTATACATAAAAACTTTACACAATATGAATTATTTTTCTCCTGTCATAGAATTCCAATTTCCGCTTTTCCTAAATATAAGAATATTATTTTATTGTTAATTTAAATGAATTCAATAAAGACAGTTCAAAAGCAATAAGTATTTTTTATTACATTCAATAAATAAATAAATAAATAAATATATATATATATATGTGTGTGTGTATGTGTGTATATGTAATTTATAATTTATCAATATATCAATTTAATTAATATTTGATCCAATTGATTTAATTAAATTTAACAAGCTTAAATATTTTATACAAAATGTGTTTGAAGTAGTTTATTTAACAAAATACGACATTTGGTACATCATAATGTTTGCAGTTATAGCTTTAACATCATTCTACACTTGAATATTTATTCTTTTAAATATTATTAGTATAATTTTGTACTACTGTATTTTTATGTAAATATTTTTATGTAATAATTGGAATCGAAAATATCTAAATACATATTATGATTCACTGGGACATTGTCAAAAATTAAACTTTTTAAAAGCAGTATACAATAATACAATAAATTTTATAAGACAACTCATACACGTATTAACGATAAATTTGTGATATAATTCAATCGATTATTAAATAATGTAGTATGAAATGATAACATCGCGGAATCATATAAATTTTTATATTATATATTTTTCAATATTCTTGAAGTACATATGTGTTTACATAAAAAATGTTTATAAAATTCATTCAGATTACAATTTTCGGTTGTCTAAATGAGGTTGTAGCTGTGCTAATAGGATTTCAAAGTATTTTAAAATTTTTATAAACCAAAGTAAAATCAGGTTTGTTTGTTGTTGTTTTTTTTTTTTTTTGTTTTTGTTTTGAAACGATTGCGTCCTATGATGGCTTTTATTAGTAATCAAACTCACCTGAACAGCAACGAAAAATTTATACTTCTTATCTTCCTCTTTATAATCCAGAACCTTTTGCTAATTTTAATTATATAAATATATTTTGTACACTTATTTGGCACAGTATTATTTATATTATGTTATTATTTTTCTAAAATTAAATCTGATATATCGACAATTTTATGCACAAGACGTTTATACTAATCTACCATTTCAATATTTATTATATATTCTATAAATCATTATTTTACAATTAGATCGTATGTTAATCGTGAATTTTGAAAAATTTTATTATAAACGAATTATTAAGCAATATAAAATAATATTCGTTAATATTACCGGGTTCCAAATATATACAACATACTGCACGATTCATATTTACAAACTATATACATCTTTTAAAATATTTAATGTACTGTAATAACATTAAAACATATTTATTTCAATCGTTATATTGAAATAATAATAATTGAGGTTTAGATTAAGATATTCCTTAAAATCATTATTTTCGTAAATTTTAGTTAACTGTGAGTATATTAATATTACATTGACGTACTCACATGTATAATAGTTCTACTTGCCTACACACATGTTAGAGCGGCGGCATTCGCCAGCTTGTTTCAATTGACTATGAAATTGTTTGGTCGTTGGATTTCTTATTTCGTAGAATGAACAATAGTTGGTTGCAATGAAAATACACGAGTATATTTATTTCTGCTTATGGTCTACCATTCCTGATATTTATAGTAATGTATACAATTCAAAATAATGCAAAAACGTGTTTTGGTGCATCAGGAATAGAATCGTCGTATTCTCGTATTCTCTACCAGTACTCCTTATATTAATTAATTAATTTTATATTTTAAGTTACAAGTAGTTTATTCTGTTATTAAAATTTTAATTTATCCAAAGTAATAATTTTGAAAAATTTAAGAAATGCATTCTTGCTTGTTTGTACATTTGAAGGAATATTTAGTGCGAGTACAAATATTTAAGTGAATTAGAAAAATTAATTCTTTTAGAATCAAACACTTCTAAATACTTCAGAAGATATATTATATGTAATTCATTGAATTTAAAACATACTAATAAATAACAAAAATATTGTCAGTATTTTTATAATGTTTAATAAAATCAAAGTAATAAATTATAATATTATTTCATTGCAATTATGGCTTTATGTTAAATAATATTTTGATGAAGTTTTTAAAATTATTAAAATTTTTAGGGAATGGTTATTTTTATTTAATAATTAATAAAATTATTTTTTACGAATGTTTACTTTATAAAAAATTCGGGAATGTTGTTTATAACAAAATACTTAAGCATGCCGTTTTTTCAATTAAAATTTTTTTTAACGTATACTAAAAAAATATGTACACCGATGATAGAAAAAGATTATATAGATAGAATAAGATTATTTAAGTTACACTTCGTCTAAATAAATATTTATTTATAGAATATCAATAATTAAATTAATTCATGTTTAATATTAAACGAATAGATAAAACTTTATTTGCTACAAGTTAATCTGAGTAAATATTTTCTCGATAATTTATTTATGAATAAGAGCTTATACATTTATACTTCATTAGAGTTATTAAAAAAATACAATAATGGAATCATTTTTAAACAGTTTAAATAGCGAGCATTTTTTATTTTATGCGACGGATTTATAGGTGCAAAAATATTGCAACACGTAGTCAGACTTTTATACTTATAAAGAGAAACGCAACATATCTTAATAAAAAAGGGTAAAGGGATATTTATAAAGTTAGATAGTATTTTTTAGTTTATACAATTGCATATTATGCACGTATTAATTTATGCTGAAAACGAATGTCTATTTGCGCAAATTATTTAAATGAGATTCGATGAGTTCCACCTTATCGGAGGAGCTTCTGCTTGCTATTCATTCTTACTTATTCACTCATTCCGTTTCGCTCATTCTCCACCCCCTCCCCCTCTCTCGCTCTCTGTAACACACGTGCATAGCGTAGTTTTTGTTGGAAGAACAGACTTTGTATGCAAAGATCATTTTTATTTTATTTTCCTCTTTTTCTTTTATACTTACGCATTCTCACTTTATTTCTCTCTCTCTCTCTCTCTCTCTCTCTCTCTCTCTCTCTCTTATCTCTTTATTATGATAACACGCTTCTTTTTTCATACAATGACTACATCATTATAAGAGGTACTGGAAATGTTCACTTTCTAAGATTGTCGCATCTCCATTATTATTAGCTGATTGTTAGATTATTAGCTGATTAGAGGTTGTTCAATTAAAGGAAGCGCGTGTACTCACACAAATGCTTTAGTGTAATGCGCCACACATATTTTGAGATTTTAAACCATCAATTTCATCTGTAATATTTATTAAGATAATAATGAAATGGTATTAGAAATAATGAAATGTTTTGTACATTTATTTAAAGCTTTTCGTTACAGGACGTAAGTATATGACCAATCCGATATTCTAAATGAATTTCATTTTAAGGGCTTTAATTTTAAGGCGGTATTACAGATTTTATCAACTAATAATTGATGTAGATTGAGCTGTCAATCTGAATTTCTAAGAATTATTTTATATTTAATGTAAAAAATAATTGAAAAATATATATTTTATGGAAGATAGATTTATTTGGGTATGAGAGAACACATCTTTGCTTATTTGTATAAAATCTTTAAAAAATAGAAAATGTATTTAAGAAAAAGTTACGAATAACATTTGAATATATATTTTATATATTATTCTTACTGCATTGACTTTATTAGTTACCATCGATTATCATAAAGAAATTACATTAACTAGATACTTTAAAAATGTTTTTCTACACGATAATTTTTAATTAAATGTTCATTAAGAAACAATGATATTAAACATAATTGTTTGTAGTAGCACGATTATTTTTTGTGATCAATTTTTTTTTTTTAATCATTTTAATAAGAAAGAACGATATTAGCATATTGTACGATTATATGAATAGAATTAAAATATTACGTATGTACAAAATGTACAAATATAGAAGATACTATATCAACATACTTCAAAGAAAAAAATAATAAAGTTATTTTAATGTCACTCGTGTAATTCATTCGTCCCTTCGCTTCATTGCTTTTATACTGTCAATTATTTTTGTTTATTAAACTGCTATAAATGTTATTACTTTTATATTTTGTAGCATATATATATATATATATATATATATATATATATATATATATATATATGTAATGTATTTACATTGAGAATATAATACAAGCCATATGCAAACATGTGTTGTAGCTTTTGTTTATTTCACTTGTACCAAACATCGAAATAAGAAAATTTGCTTTCCCAATAATAATTTTGTCATCTTACACCATTTTCTTCAAATCAATAAAATTTATTAAAAAAATAAAAAAAAGATTTTAACATTAAAATGTACGAGGTAGAATTTGATAATTTTATATTTAATTCAGAACTGTAATATTGCATGATAATTAAAAGATAAAAGTTCTCCTTTGTATTGAGAATAACCGGTGAACACCAACTGGTGAATTAATGTATGTCACGTAGACTTTCTGTATTCAATATTTGTCTCGGTTAAGTGCAGGTGCACGTATCGAGATTTTCCTAAGAGAATAAATCACACGATTATGTATGGTATGTGTATGGTATCCATTAGTCGATACTATTAAGTTTATAAAATAATATGCTCATAAATATGTTTCCATACATACTCAATTTCGAGAGATTAAAAATTGATAGATTTGCAGGCGTAATTACATATCGAAGTCCCTGGCTACTTCGATATTCAGTCAAGTTTCTTACACTTGGCTTAATTAATAGCAATGAGATTCTGAAATATTAGAATTTTTAAATACAAATGATACGATGAAAGGAAGACCATTCTCTGGTACTAATACCTTGTCTTTAATTGGATCGAGGTTGATGGAATTGAAATTGACGACGCTAGTACTATTAATACCATACACTTATGCGAAATACTAATATTTGGAAATCCCAGTATTTTTTAATATATAAGTCTTTCATTTTTTTTTTTTTTTTGGAACACGAAACTATTTTTTAATAAACGCAAATGCCCGTTAGAATCCTGAAGACGTATTGTTGTGCGGATAAAACGTAGCCAAATATAAAAATAAAATATCATCAATCTTAATAAAATAATAATATTTTAAAATAATTTTTTATATTTTAAATACCTAGGAAATATTAAATAGATTTTATATCATAATTACACTCAGAAATGAAATTCAATATGTTATTTATATAATTTCAAACACAACATTGATAAGTAAAATATTTATACTAATTTATTTAAAAATTCTGCAATCCTTCAGACATTGGAAGAAGAGGCGTCTTGTATACCAATTATTTCAACTTTGTCAATCGAAAGCTGCTTGATTGAAAGATTAGGTGAGGTAAAGCTAGGGGATCAAATACCATATGAGATAAGCACCTAATCCATTTAAAATTTTATATATACTGATCATGGAGCTATAGATTCGAATTAAGGTGTATTATTATTATTTTTTTTTTGTTTTTGTTTTTACGTGCTTCTACTGGTGCTCATAAGTATTAAGGTTTTGTTATACCTAACTCGTTAAGAATACATTACTGGCTAATCATTGCATTTTTTAAATCGACGAACGCGAAAAAATCTCAGATAATTTATTATTGTAAATTTTAATACAATTATTATTTTAATATAATTATTATGTTTTGCCAGTAATATCGATATCGTCAATTGTAAAATAACAGTAAAAATACTTAAATAAAATAATCTCATGGCATTTGTTCTAATCTTAAAGTATAAATATTTACTAATATTGCACTTAATAATTTCATAACTGTATACATGCACGGTCTACATATCACATACGCGTAAATAAAAAATGCTGAGTAACAATAATTAAAAGGAGCAGCGACAATAGAAGCCTTTGTTATGAAAAAGCGCGATATTGACTTCCATAGTCACCTTCAATAATGAAAAAGAAAGATATTCCTTTTTTCAAACATTGTATTTTCTTTATTTTGTCATAAATACGTCGAAAGTTATTAAAAAAAATTTTTTTTTTTACTAAAGCAAATTTTCCTACTCGCGACAATTTGTTCATAATTTTATTAACCTAAATTCATTACAATATCACATCAAATCGCAGAATTAATGATTTTTAAATATTTTAAAGTTAATTGTGATTATATGAAAACTTCTATAATTTTTAGAGTACAAATAACGAACATTTTGTTCCTTATGATTTGTAAACTTTCCGCTATTTGATGCAACTATTCTTCCTAAAGTCGAGAAATTCAACGATTCGTAGTCTTAATTTTATCAAAGTATATGGAAACGAAGATAGATACATTTTTTTACAATCTAGATGTCAACAAAATTTCGTTTTCCAAGCTTTAGATGGACAATAGATTAGACAGTGGCTTATTAATAAAAACCTTCTGCTTTAACGATTATTTATTTCTAGTATGGCTATCTTGTGTTCAAACCTTTGATTTTTCTTTAGTAAACAAATAAAAGCTGAATAAAAAATTGAGCATGTGCGTCAACAGTCATATCGTGAAATTATTCCGATTCTTTCTTTCTTTCTTTCTTTCTTTCTTTCTTTCTTTCTTGTTATTTCGATGCTATTGAAAGAAATGTTATTTAATTAAAATAAATATTTATCCCAATACTCCTAAATAGATATTTGATTCTAATTAATATCTATTACATTCTAGAAAAGCGTTTTCAAAATAAATAAATATTTTTGGCTGAATAAATATTATTATATTTGAAACAAACTAATTTAGGCTCATTGGAATACATACTTATATAAATTAAATAAATGCTATTTGAATGTAAAAAGTTTGATTGAGCTAACTGCGATACTAGTTTTGACTTCTCTCGAGGTTAGTTGTGCTTTAAGCGATACAATGTGCGCCATTGCACTCATCGTCCACTTGCTTGTTAACCTTCACCGAGGTCTTATTCCAGGAGAAGCTGCGTAAATAGCAGCGACTACTGTAGAAATGGTGTCGTACCGCTGTATCTGGCGCCGAGTCAGTCGTCGTTACGTTGCCGTTCACGAAATTCATCTTGGATCAGCTAGCTGGCATCTCCGAACTTTGGCTTTGCGATAATTGTAACAAATGGCACTCTGATAGCGGAACTTCTCGAGTTCGTGCGCTCTGCTTTTTCTATGAAAAGGTAAGAAATTCTGGATAATAACAATAAATTTAATTCGAAAAATAATTGATATTAAGTATATTACGCTTAATTACGATATATTCGCTGATAAAAGTATCATATATAAATTTAATTCATTCAATTTACTGCATGAATTTAACCAAACTAAATGGTAAATTTAAAAGTACGATATTCATTATGAAAGTACTAATTTGATAATAAAATAATGAATTTATGTCGTATCGAAATTCTGCAGTAGACATTGACAAACAAATCGAATATAATTAATATCAGGTCATAACTGTTTGTACAAAACATTGACTCTTGCCCTACTGTGAAATAATTTTTTATCTCTAAATGTATAAATTTATAAATTTTTTTATATCTGAAAATTTCGTTCCGAGTTATATAATTATATGTATATACGTTATGAAATTTAGTCTAAAATTGTTATTATATAATTATTCTTTTTAAAAAATTGTTGAGAAAATTTTTTTTCTGATAATATATTAAATAAACATGCAAACGTTGAATAAATAATTGAAAATTATTAAATCAAAATATTAACTAATCAAAAATACATTAATTTTTTATTAAATTGAAGTAAATTTCGGCATTTACAGAGAAACAATATAACATATATTTTTTCAAATATCAAAAGATGAAATAACAAGGTGAATGAACGTTTATTAAAATATAGCTATAAAATAGCTTATAAAACATTTCCATAAGTACAGTATAGTAAATATTTTTGAATACTGCAAAGTTATACCTTTCTACGGAAGGGAAAGCAGCCTCTATTTTCATTATTTTGCGGTAGATGATTTATTAGCAGATCCGCGGTTGGTGTATTGTTTGGACCAAGTACATTGAGCTCTTTAAAGCATTCTGTTTCAATCATCTAAAATAATACAAATAATAAATACGGTTAATTAATATAAACAATGCATTCGTTAATAAGTTATAATAGTATAAGATTAATACAAATTACGATTCGTATTTGATATATTCATAAAAATTTAGTTACCCAAAGATACATAAAATTTATAAAACATAAGAGTTATGTAGTTAAATTTAGAGTATTAAATTACTAAAATAACTAAATATAGATAGTTAAAAATCTATAGCAATAACATCAATTTAACATTAATATTATACAAATGCAAAAAGTTTCCTCGTACACAAATACAACATAATACAAAATACTTACTTTTGTAATTTCACAAAATTTGCAAAGTTATGGTATATTTAGATATTTTCCAATTTCAATGTTTGCCATTTTAAATTAAAACGTATAAAACACATCAAAATAAGCTAGTTTTATTTCTTTATCTTGTTTGAAATTTACTTAAGGTAAAAAGAAGCTAACAAGACAAAAGATTCTATTTTTAATTTTCATAATCACTTTTTAATTGCTTTTTATAAAAAGTGGAGAAGTTTATCTTTGTTACAACGTGAGAAAGCTTTTAAAAAGACTTCATCATAATACGAAAGGTCGTATAGTAGTACGTTTTCGTAAATTTGTATCCAACTATTTCAAATACCACTATTTAAAAAAAAAAAAAAAAGAAAAGAAAAAAAGATTCATTTGTATACTTTGACTTCTTACGTATCATTATACTCACTTCGTTTTGCCAAGGAATCGACACGCTTCCTGTATTAAATTTACTGTAAAATGTATCATCCGTTGCGTCTAAATTAACGCCCTTCACAGTAGAAAATTGCTCAATATCCAAGACGTCCTTGGCATACACTGCATGTGGCTATGCAAATGAAAAAAAGAAAAAGAAGAAGAAAGAGATTAATTAAGACCTGGTTATTTTATAATTTTCATTGATTTTGTTATTTATAGTTTAATACAACGCTAAAGATAATAAAAGATTCTTGTATTTTTATATGAAAATCAATGTAAATGATGTTGATACTCGATAAGTTACTTTTATATTATGTTGAAAATGTGTCTATAAAACGTAGTCTACTAAAAGAAAAAAAATATTATTAACAATAAAATTAAAATTTCTAATGAATTTAGAAAAAAAAAAAAATATAAAATCACTAAACGTAAAGAATTAAAATATTATTCTCATTTACAAATATGGGAAATATTGAATTTCTTCTCAAAATTAATTCTTGATTATAACTATTTTCTGCATTTAATGTAACTTTATTTCCTTTACTGATCAAGAAACCATTTGAATATATTTTTTATATTATTTATTTTAAATATCGTTTCATGCAAATTAATTTTACATTACATAAATAATTTTTTTTTAAATAAATAAGAATTTAAATAAAATCTGAAATATATTTAATATTGTTAATACTAAATATTGTTATAATATAAAAAATTAGTATTTTTGATTATACTATTAATTGCAATTACTTTATAATTTCTTAACAAATTCATACGTGCAGTGACTTTTATTTTTTTTTAGATTTTGTTACGTTTATTATATTATTAAAAAATATATATTATTAGTATTTGAAAATTCTTTAAATATATTATATAGACCTATTTACATAATGAAGTATCGTAGAAATCCAAGCTCCTTATTAACAATTCGAAATACTATTTTGTATTTTGCATGAAAGCAAATGAAATTGAGGAGAAAAGTCGCTTATATTCAAAGTACTTACATCAGGGATGAATGGTGGCTCCCACATACCCGCCTCGACTCTTTTCCAATTGAGACATTGGAAAAAGGTATGAAGTTTAATCTCCTTAGCGCCATGCCTGCCACATTTACAGCCAAGTCTGCTTTTAGGGCTCTTCTTTAACAGCATCTGACACAAGCTCTTGGCCTCCTCTGTGAATTTGTGTGAGTATTTTTCCTGATCTTCCTTGACCCTCCTGTCGACCTCGTCTCGCTTCACTTTCTCCTTGCGAGCACGAAAAGGCGCCTGGCCCTCGATCATTTCATAAAGCAGACAGCCGAAACTAAACCAATCGGGTGAGAAAGTATATTTCTCGTTATCAATGACTTCGGGCGCCATGTAGCCAACGGTGCCGACTCGTCCGCGCACCATATCCCCTTCGGTAATTTCAACCGCGAGTCCGAGATCGGAGATCCGCACATGGCCGTGGTCATCAAGGAGAATATTTTCGGGTTTGCAGTCTCGGTAGACGATGCCTTGTAAATGCAGATGCTCCAATCCGCAAACAACCTCCGCTGCGTAAAACCTACGAGACAGGTCCATGCTAAACGATCGGTAGTTTCTCTAAGTCTATACAATATCCTTATGATTAAGCAAATGTTTTGTAACATTTAGAATATCTGACATTTGAAAGTAACGTAGGAATATATAGATTTGCCCTCGACAATAGATTATTGACTCTCTATTAAAATTTTAATCATTGTCATTTTTCGAATATATATTTTTTAAATTCATTTTGATTTTATTTCACCTTATAATGTTCGTAATGAAATTCATACTTTATTACATTACTTTACACAAAATTGCTTATTGCTTAATATACTTTTAAAATTTTTTTACAAAAATCTAGGGGTTTGAATTTTTCTTATATATTTATATTGTTTTTAAGGTATTCATAACTAACGTTGCGTTGAAAGCTTTTTTAGTCTACGTAAGTCTACGTAATCCACTAACCTGGCCCTGTTGATGTCGAATCCTGGCTCCCCACCCATATTATAAATGTGGAATTTGAGATCACCGCCATTCATGATGGTAAGGACGAGACAGAGTGCGTCCTTAGTTTCATAGGCATAAGCCAATGAGACAACGAACTTGGAATTGATCTTCTGAAGGATGTTCTTTTCGATGAGTACCATAGCCTCGCCTTTACGTTTTTTGATTCGCTTCTTTTCGAGCTTTTTACAAGCGTACATTTTGCCGGTTGCGCGTACTTGACAAGCGCACACTTCGCCGAAGCCACCCTTTCCCAATACTCGGTACATGCGAAAGGTTTTATACGTTACGGGCTGCGCTTCCAACCACTTCCATTGCAGATACCTGAATTTCGATCGAAAATGCGTGCTGTACCACTTTCGCGACAATATTACATATAATTGTAAGAAGGAAATTAAAATCTGTCATTTGAATCATACTTAGATAGTATGCTTGCCACGTGCATATTTCAATTCAAGAGTAATGATATATTAACAGGAGAATAGCGATTAGTGGTGTCAATATTTTCATGAAAAGTAAAATCAAATAAAAGCTACTTAACATCATTAAATAACTTATTCTTTTGGAACATTAGTAATCATAATGATATTTAGAATGTTCAACATTCTTATGCATATACATATATTGTCAATTAAATGTAATTTTTAATGAAATTCAGGTAATTAAATAAATATGCACAGTAGATTTTACCATTGAACGTATTTTTAAAACTGTATTTTGCTTTTGTGGAAATTCTAGAATGGAGTACTTCAAAAATTCGTCGATGTGCGCTATTGCATTAATTACAATTATTACAGTTATTGAGCGAAAATTATTATTGAATGAAATTTATGATAAAGTTTGATATGCTGACACATTGAAATTATCTTTTGATAATGACTCGTTCAACTTTTAATTATTATTTTGAATATAATGATATTAGCTTGGCATTAAATAGACTTTGCATAGGTAATACATTGGTTTTATATACAATAAATTTTTCCCTAAAATAATTCTTTTGTTAGTACGTTTCGGGAACATTATTTTCCGGCTTGAGAAGTAACGAATTGAATGGTTTCAAAATTAAAAAGAGGAAGATAAAAGATATTTTTATAATCATAAAAACAATTAAATATTAGCAGGGCTTAAAGATTTAATGTGAATCGTTTCATTGTATACGGTTGACTATTAAAGCCGAGAGTTAATATCGCAAGAATAATCGACGAGCTTACCTGTAAAAATAAAAGGTTGTGAGAAAAGCGACGAAAGGCTCGCCAGCAAGAAAATTCTTAACTGTTTGAGCAATTTCACCGAAGATCTCCTTGCCAGCACTGCCAAGTCTTTCCTCGCATTGAGCGATAAGCGAATCATTGAGTATGTCGACAACCTCGGAGCCTTCGCGCTTCAAGTGTTGTTCAAACAATATCTTCGCCATCTCTGTCCTATTTTCATCCATTTCCACCTCGTATTTTTCGATCGCGTCCAAAAAGAGATTGTAACGGTGATAAGCTGGCTTCTTGTCTTGGCAATACTGCCGAAAAAGCAGTCGGCCGATAGGTTGCTGGTCAACCACATAGCTGTATCGAATATCTACGACGAACACGTACAAATTTTACAGATATTATAACTTTTCATCTACATAAGACTACATGAAGTTTATAATATGTACGTACGTAAGTTGAAATAAATAAGGTAAGGTACTGCAGAATACAATTTTGTATTTTCTATATTTGCATTCCCCCATATTTTATTTTTTTATGTGTACAAATAGAATAAATTTTATTAAAATATTATTATTAATTATTAATTATTAATTATTATTATTATTATTATTATTATTATTATTATTAGTAGTATTAGTATTAGTAGTAGTAGTAGTAGTAGTAGTAGTAGTAGTAGTAGTAGTAGTAGTAGTAGTAGTAGTAGTAGTAGTAGTAGTAGTAGTAGTAGTAGTAGTAGTAGTAGTAGTAGTAGTAGTAGTAGTAGTAGTAGTAGTAGTAGTAGTAGTAGTAGTAGTAGTATTATTAGTATTATGTTTATTATCGTGAAATTTAATTTGTTACAATATCGAACGAGCTTCAAATATACAAACTGATAATTAAATTAAAAGATATTTATATCATTTAATTACAAAACTAGTGACTATCTAATTTATATTACTAATTTAATTAATCTGACGTATTGTACGTTATTCTGCTTTATAAGGTCAAATGAATAATATTACATGCAATTTCTTGGAAAATGACAGCATTGCCAAAGTGCCTGGATAAAATCGTTCATTATTCGAAATCGTAATAAAATCATTTAAGAATTTCCTCGGTTTAGAATTGTCAACCGAGTTGCCATAATATATTGCGCTTCCACCAAAATAGGGCAATAAAACTCTCGATTCCGATGACTTCATAATACCTTATGGAACTAAAAGAGATCCGTTTTATTGTTCAGTATTTCTTGTTCACTGCTAAGTGAAAGATTTTGTGCAATTAGACGTGGAATTGTTGACGTATATGTTTAATATATAATCATCTAGTGAAGCAATTTAATTATAATATTTTGAGATGTTTATTTTCAATGTTATTTATAGAATACTAGATAAAACAGACTTTTAATGCATTTAAAACAATCAAATGGATTAAAAGTATTAAAAACAATTAGCAGTAACAACTACAAATTTGGAAAAATCTTAAGGGCTTTAGCGTGTAGGGGCTTTGAAAATGAATCGATTAATGCCAAGTATTTTTCATGAGTTTTATACCAATCGAGGTACTAATAAACAATTATTACAGTGCGCGTCGGTAAATTTATTGTATTTTAATTAAATATATTTAAAATATCTTGATTTTACTTTCATATTCTATTAGATATTTCAAATTTTCATTACAAAATACTAATTGTAATTTGAAATATTCATAAAATATACATTGTTTGTAATATTATTATTACAACCAGTTGTATTATCTTTATTATATTATCTTTACAATAATCATTGTTTTTCTCTTTCAAAAGCTAATGGAAAACGTTAATAATTGGAAAAATGATCTTGTATTCGATAAATGAACAATTGATGTGTTAATTTTGAGAATTCATTAATTCGGATATTTCAAGATTTTCATTTTTTGTCTCATCATACAATTGCACATTATGCAATTATTTGTAATAACGCGAAATTTTTTCATTGTATAAATTTTTTATATAATTCGCATATAAACGAATAATATTTGCATCTAATTGTTTTATTTTCTGATAACGTTTAATGTACATATTAACAAAACATAATAATTATTGTTTTATATCACTGTTTTATATTGTTTTATAAGGTTGAAGCTGTCTCACATTTGCATATATACAAATAATATTTCGTCAATATTTGAGATCGTCGACTAGCGCATTCTCTTTCGCACACACGCCGATATGCAAACGCGTATACAGTACATCTATTTACGTACTTATTCTCTTGTGTTGAGCATGCAATACAGACCCAATCGTGTTATGATTATTCATTCAATTTACTGAATAAATGAATGAGGGCGTAGTGTCAACTCTTTTAATGTGGGCAACATTTTTTTTCACAGATATATTTTTGAAGACAGAATTTTTTAGACAATTGAAGCACTTACAGTAGCCATTAATAAATGACCGGATTTTTATAGAAATGTTTACTAACGTAGCGTATTATCATTGAGCGGTAACGCGGCCAGCTTACTCCGTAATTGTTGGATATTGCCGGAAGTAGATGCAAACTATCAAAAGAGAAACATAAATCAATACTTTCTTTGTTTCGAAATATATTCTAAAAGTTTCTTAAATTTATTTTCAAAGAAAAGATTTCTTTAAATTTTAAGACTTTCAACTTTCAATATTGCGGAAACTCTTACACTATCGATATAATAACATTTCAAAGAGTATTCGCATTCAAATGATCAAAGTCTACTATTAATAAAAATCTAAAGCTTTGAAGCGGCCACATATCATGAATGAATCAACAAAAGAGCAAATGAACAGCTCAGTACTAAGGATATTCACTCTCGTTTATAAAAGCAATGATTTTTGGATAAATCTATATATCAAATATATCAAATATATTACATTTTTTGAAATTATAAATCTATTATCTATCTATCTATTATCTATTTTGTATTATGATACTGTTTACATTATCATACCTTAATTACGATAATATTATAATCAGTTTATAAACTAAATTCACATTTATTTTACAGGATTGCAAGGACATTTATTTTAAACTATATTTTATGTACACTTCAAGTATAGGGGAAAGGCTGTATCTGCACCAAACTGAAAGTTAAAATTTTATCGAAAATTTTCGGCTTATCGGAAAAGTAAATTATTAAACTATTTTTGTATTGTATGTATTAAACTAAATATGCTACAATAATTATAATCTTTTAATTTGTCTAAATAGTGATATGGATTCCATAATATATAATATTCTTCTTATCGTTATATATCCATATATGATTATATATATATATATATATATATATATATATATATATAGAACTATTTCACAATGCAAATTAGTAAAAATTCACTGTATAAGTAAGATTCATTTGCAACCAAGACTTTATAGTAGACCGAGCAGGAAGTTTATAATTACGATTAATAAGGAAAATTCATGATTTTTAACTCAACAGATTTAAATAATCTTTAAAAATAAAAAAAAAAAAAAATAAATAAATTTTTTATATAATATCGCAACTAATTTAATTATTCAAAAGTTATCGATATTGATATAGCAATCAGAAATAATAATTAACGGAAATAATTAAAAACGAATTATTTTTTTTAATTGGTAATTTTGTCTGACCTAATAATACTATACGTATGCACATAAGTATTCCCCGTTTATCATTATTAATCCTTATCTAATTGGTTCCTTATAAATATCAGTTAGAATTACATACATAGTGGTAATAAAAAATAAAGAATGAAAACATAACTCGATTAGATTAGCGTATCGATTCTTTTTAATTACTAATGAAGATACCAACGGATTAGCAATTTTCAATAAAAATATAAGAAAATTATAGTTTTTCTTTAATAACTATAATATTCAAGTATTACGTCTTTATATACTTAAAATAATGAATAAATAAAATAAATGAAAAATAATTTATAATATGTTAAAAACATTCTTCGAAGATGGAGTCAAATATTTGAATTGCAATGTTCATTTATTGTCATTACTTGCCCCCGTATTACATACATCGAATTAAAAATACTTGCACGATCTATTATTTACGCATCATCTCACTCTTCTCTTCTACGTAAACCTTATGTACATACACACGTAACAGCTAACGCAAACAAGAAAGCACGTGAAACTTGTTATCTTAGTGGGTTAAACAACAATAGCACTACTGCAGTTTCATTTCCTTTATAAGGAAATCAATGGTGGTAGAATTTATATTACCTATAGGACTAAGTAATTGCATATGGACCATCTTGTACGTTAATAAAAATAATCAAAATGCTTTTATAGAAAAATTTCGGAGGTTAAACGTCAATTATTTTGTAGTTTGTTTTATCTTCAAAAAGTAATTAATTTTTTTTTCTCTATTTCTTGGCAACTTTTTGTCTGGAGACGAAAAATAAAAATGATTTATTATGCGTTAAAATTGATTTTGTACAAAAATAATTCTTTAAAAGATTGTATCACACCGTATTTCATTTATTATATTTATGATATATAATTTTAAGCCTTTACTCTTTTATCATTAGTTTATTTGAACAATTTATCTTTGAAAGATTAAAAAAAATTTTTTTTTTCTTAAAAAAAAAAAGACTATTTATTACTTAAAATTTTAATTCTCTTTTTTTCTACCATGAAATTTTCCTTTCCAATAATCAAATACGATTTAGAATATAATGTGCTTAAAATATATTTCCAATTTATTTTGACAATAGAAAATATGTGCACATTACTTTGAATAGATATATATGTTGCCAAAAGTACCAAAAAAAGTATTGAAAAGGTTTTTTCGTAAAAGTTTTCACTAACTTTTATGCAGTAAGAAAAGGTTATACGATTCTGAATATCATGTCAGAACGATAAAAAATTCTCTATATGAAAAAGTTACAAAACTTCGAACTTTTAAATTTATTTGAGACGTGAGTAGTCGAATAGATGCATCAAGATACAAGCGCGAAAACATAATTCATCCTTAGTTTATTCTTCTCTTTTTATTGCTACATGCCAATAAAGATATTATTGAAATGAACATTGCATTTTCATTAATTTAAAGAGGATAATTTTCGCTTCTACAAAAAACCAATCTTAACAACTTTTTATGAAGAAAGCTAAAAGACTACACGGCCTAACTCAGGTAGACATTCAATATGGAAACTTTGATTTTTTTAGTCGATACCTTTTCTTTCTCTAACTGAAAAATCGATATCCACATGCTCTTTTTGAGTCAACTTTATATTATAACCATAAATAGAAATATTATAGCAACCATAAAATCATATGAGTAGTATTAAAGAAGTATTTTAAATTAAATTTAATTATACTTATTTTTACAAATACCAAAATTTAATTTATATCTTTTCAATAAATTCTCCTATGT